CTTCATCAGGTAGGATGGGAGAAATGCGTCGAATAAGCCTCTCCGTTAACGTTTTTGTTAGCCTAGCCAAGAAATATTCAACTATATTAAACACTTCCTATTATGAAAAAGTATGGATACATGAAAATTATACGACGTGCAATGTTACCTAAACCGTTTCCTGAAAGAACGCTCATCTAGAGTATGAAAGGGATTCTGTGATTCTCTCATTTCCATATTCCTCACCCTATTTCCTTCTATCCTTACTCGCTCATTTCCTGCTTCCAAATCTCTCGCAGCTATTATTGCTACAAGTGCACCTGTTAAATTCCTCGGGTATACAAACATTGTCTGTAGACTTACAACCGACTAAAAATGACAGAAAACTGCTTCTATCACTTAAATAAATAATTGCATAGCCTAATATTATACCATTGCCCAAGTTATTGGTAAACTACTCGACCTCTGAGTATATTACAAATATCTCCTATCCACCGATAATTTATTACTCGATCTATCGTCAATCGTTTGTAACAGTTTGATAGAAAATTTAATTTGAATTATCACCGCGCCCGTGTTCACAAAACCTGCACACAACGCCTGTATTGCACGCCCCCTAACGGGAGCAAAAAAATAAGTTTTAAGTCGGCAAAAACGCGCAAAATCTCTCCCCAGCGGTGATTAGTGTTCGAAACTACTAAACTCAAAGAGTCAATTCTCAGAATCCATAAACTAAGACATAAATCAACACAAAAGGTGAAGTTGTAAAGTTGAATCTCTGCCTAAATGGCCGAAACTCTCAGCTCAGCCAATTCTGAACCCCAAAATAAAGAATAATTGTCTCTAATAATTACATGTCTCCATGTTTATATGGTATTGTCTAACGAGTTCATGAAATCGGTAGAATCCCAGCTGATAAACAAATGATCATCACCCTGAGACGTCACACCGGCAAAAAAATTTCCCTCGAGTTGTCCATCGATATTTCAATCGCCAGAGAAGTACAACGACTTATCGCAATACTAACCACATAATAGATAAAGTGCAGATAATTTAATTGTTGGAAAAATTCATTAAGGATTGAATGTGGCACTCGAAGGGTGAAAACGAGGAAAGATGGATGAGGGTGGAAAGGAAAATTCCGTTGATTCATCAGAGGCATTCGATACATATCCCCAGGAATTGTCTGAGATTGATGAACTAGATGATAAGTATTACGAGCTGAGTAGTAATTCGTCGTCTTCACGTCAGGAATACACTCGTGAATTCAGTTTAGACGTTGAATATGATAGCAGCTCAACCGATGATAGTACACCACAAGTAGGTGAAATACTCGAGGAAAATAACAACGATCCAAATAATAACATGGAGGGTGGTGAGGGCAATGTGGCTGAGGAATTTAGACCAATCGTCGAGGTTTCAGTGAGTCCACAGCCGGGATGTAGTAAAGATTTCAATACCACCGAGAAAACAGATCGAGTCAGTGCTGATGTACACAAAACGGCCGTTAGGATTCAAACATTCCTGCATGATACAACGTACCCTCAAATTGTCAGCATCCTAGAGGAAAGACCCAACTTCGAGCTTGAAATTCACAAATTGTTTGGTAAATCAGGGGCCGAGGTGGCGATTAAACGAAATCATGATGATCAAAATGCTTGTGAGATTGAAACAAAAAGATTAACTCTTCAGAAGTCTGAAGGTGGAGCTGGAGTTGAGGTGGATGAAGCTTTACACAGTCCAGGACCTGAAGCTTTCCTCGATGGTGTTCCTGAGAGTGATAAACACGAATTAACACCTCCAGAACCACATGATCGGCGTAATAGGGTGAATATTCTCAGAAATGACACGCCTATTCGGATAGACTCGAGTGATGATGAAGAGAGGGGCTCTAGGAGAACCGCATTGACTTCAACATGGGCTTCCTCCTACAATAGCACCACCAACTGTTCCCACCCGATGGTACTTAGAAAAATTCAAACAAAACATTCTAATGAACTCTTAAATTATTCAATAATTCCACTAGTATTCAAATTATTGAATATATTACATCGCCTAGAGTTATAGTTATAGCTATTTATAGTATTGAATTTTTGTCGATTTTTTCGGAAGAGGGAAAATTTTTGTTTAATGTCTTTATAATATAATTCGTTAATTTCAGAATTGGAGAGATTGTCAAAAATTAAGAGAGGGCATTGAGAGTATTGAAGAAAGAGTTATGAATGTTAGACCTCCTGTGAAGGTCAGGGCAGCTCCAGCTACGATAGTACGAGAAGAACAAGTGACTGTACGTATTGAATAGAGTGAAATATCAATCGAATGGGTTAAGGGGGATTTATTATGATTTTAGAAGGTGTCCACGTGGCTGAATCAGGGGATGCCTAGGGTGAATAATGAGGCGAGGGGAGTGCCTGCTGCTACAGGATCTTCTCGGGTTAGTATACATTTTTTTTTTAATGACAAGTTATTCTGATATTTTTATCGATTTTCGAATTTGAGACGACGTAATTCACTTTTTCATTGTCAGAGTGTACAGGCAAAGGCTACTTCTGGTCGAGGATCCCCTAATCTCGAAATTGGAGAACCATATGAACGTGTAAGGGTAAATGATACCGTTAATGTAATTATAAAATATAAGTATTCAATTTCCAATTTGAAAAACCCAATCATAAATCATGGGAGGTGTCAATTAATTTTTAAATACTCTCCAAAATTAATTTATTATAAAATTTTAATAAATCGGAGTATTAGGGGTTGGAGAGAAGAATTTTGGGAGCAGAAAAGAAAAAAATGATGGAAGAGAAAGTGTGGACTGTAGATTCTGTAAAAGATTTTCAAATTACGGATTCAAATAACGAATTGAAGTAGAAGATATAGATGAAATCCTATATTTTCAGGATCGAGGACGTCGTCGCCACAGTCCTCCCCTCGCAGGCCACGTAAATCTTGAGGGTGTACCTACGAAAATAAAAATAGTAACAAATGGAAGTGGCACACGGGTGATTCAAGTGTGCGATCGTCCACGTCATCCAGGATTACCACCCTACGATGGACGTTATCATTTTCCACAATTTGCAATGGACCCCCAACCGGGATCGTCAACAGGAAATTATGGGTACAGATTGAACTCAGCGAATGCTGTTCCACTACCAGAGACTGAACGCTCAGCATTCAGAAGACGAGTGGATCCAAAAGAGCAATTACAACGAGAGCTCATCGATGCAAATCGCCAAATAGCTGAGAGAATTGATTATTGCAGACGTGCAGATGCTGAAAGGAAGAGGGTTGGGGGTAGAGTTCACACTGTTCCCCAGGTTTCTGCAACAGTGCCTCCACGTCCTGAGAGAAATATTCCGCCACTTCCTCATGTTCCAGCGCCAGAACCCTCTCATCAGCAGAGAGTCGAGACTCCACCTCGAATAATTCCTGTGATTAAAGTTGACGAGAGCCCAGAGTCATTCCCACGAGAGAATAAAGATGAATACTGTATTGAAATTTATACAAAACTTCGTGCGATGTTTCCAAATATAAAAAAAGGATACATCAAACGAATTACTCCAGTGGATTGGGCACCTAACGTGGGGCATGATGTACAATTTGCTCAAATTGTTGAACGTCTATTGGCGAATGAAACCTCGTGGGAGCTGGAAATTCCAAGTGATGAGGGAAACGATCCGAGGGGATCTGCTGGAATCAGACGAACTGTTGATGAGACGTATGAGCATCTGTTGGAGATATTTCCGAATGCTGATCCCACATTTTTACGTGATAGAGCTGAAAAGACGTACAAGGATGATGAGGCACTGGAGTCATTCATCGAGCAAAATCTACAAACTCATAGTTATCCTACCAGAGAGCAGTACCTCTCCAAGATGAGAATCACCGAAGAGCAGTTGAGATACACCACTAACTTCACTGTTCCCACCTTTCTGGAAAAATTTCCAGACCCATTCAAGCATTTTTTGGATAAAAAACGAACGTGCAAGCATGAAATTGTGGGCTTGGAATTTTTAAAGAGTCAATTCAATCGAATTCGTGTCTCCACCGTTTCTAAAGTTTACAGTGAAACTCAATGGAACATGAGCATTGCAACAGCTAAACTCAGGCAAATCGGTTCAGACATGAATAGCACAAGAAAATTCACTGAAATACCAACCGAGGACATCAATCTCCTCCAGGAGATGGCCTTCATTCGTCATCAGAGTCACATCCAAAAATACATCGACGATATGAAAAAAGCAGAGAAGGCCGAATTTGAAAAGTTGAAGAAGTCCAATGAACTATTGGAATGCCAGTGCTGTTATGACAACGAATGTATGCCATCGAAGTGCTCAATGTGTGATCAAGGTCATGTTTTTTGTAATTCATGCATCATCAAGGGAACTGATACTAAATTAGGGGAAGGAGATACTCATGTGCCATGCTTCCAAGATTGTGGTGCTGAATTTAGTTTAGCAACGCTGCAGGAAATTTTGAAGCCAACGAAATTCAGTATTCTTGTTAAAAAACGTCAAGCAGCTGAAGTTGCTGCTGCTGGACTGGAGGGACTGGTGTCCTGTCCATTCTGTCATTTTGCTTCGATTCCACCTGAGGGTGACAAAGTATTCAAGTGCCTCAATTCAGAATGCATGAAGGAGTCGTGCATTCAATGCAAAGAACCCAATCATGTACCTCTACGCTGCAACGAAGTTGGTAAAGCTGATAAAGCTCGCAAGTACATTGAGGAAAAAATGACAGAGGCTCTTGCACGTAAATGTTATAATTGCAAGAAGGCGTACTTCAAGGAAGAAGGCTGTAATAAGATAACTTGCCCCTGTGGGGCTATCATGTGCTATCTCTGCGATAAGAAGATTAGGGATTACAGTCATTTTCGGGGACAGGGATCTGATGATATGACTAAGTGTCCACTCTACAGTGATAGTGCTAGATTGAATGCAGAGACTGTACGGAGAGTGGCTAATGAGGCTAAGAGGGAATTGCTCAGACAAGATCCATCGCTCAGCATTGAAACTGATCATCTTCTACCTGCAGTTCCTCCACCATCGGTTGGACCTCATCAACAGATTATTCAAGCTCCTCATGTGCATGTAAGAATTTAAATTTTTCGCTGATGTCGGGGTAATATGGACATTCTTCATTTTCCATATTTTTGTTTAAGGGCGTTCTGCTTTTTTAAATTGTTGATCGGATTGGAGCGAGGAAATATATTGTTTTTCCATTTTATCGTTATTTAATTACTTCTCAAATACTTTATTAAAAAAACAGGAAAAATCAGTGAAGAGCGCGAAATCATGAGGTGGTTTGAAAAAAATCTAGCAAAAATGCCACATAAATTCATTTTTTATTTATTTTAGGCTAGTCGGATTGAAAAAAATAAAAGATAATGTCTGATTGTCCATCTGATCCTTCATTCGATTTATTTATGTAAAAATATGATCATATTACCCTATATTCTGAAAATTGTTGTATTATCGAATTAATTAATGCGATAAATATTTTCTGTAGCAGATTGCTGAACCAGTACTGCCGGCTCATCCCATTCATCAACATTTTTAGCTCCGGTTTCACCACGTGTACATAATCATCCATAAAAAGAAAAAACAAGAAAGAAGAAAAAGAATTTACATTACAAATTATTATTTTAATGTTCTCTGTTTAGTTGTTAGTGTTGGTACTCGTAAAGATAACTTATTCCATTTAGTTCGGAAGATGCCAAGAATATTATCTAGTGAGTTGTTACGTGAATTGAGGAAAATCTGAGAAGGGTACCTGAAAAAATGTTCCTAAATAAATATTTGCATTTTTATATCAATTTCTGTTGTTTTTATAGTCCCATTCTCTAAATTTTAATGACAGCGAACGCTGGCTCTTGGAATTGTTGAATTGCTTTAATATTTTTACCTCTCCACCATTTTTTTAAATATCTTAGTGATTTTTGGTGATGGACTGTTGTTTATTAAAGAAGTTTATTTTTAAATATCTTGATAAATCGTAGAGATAACGAGAGAATTTTTATAAAAAATTTATTAATCAAAGGTTGGAGTGGAAATTGGAAATTTAGAATAATGAATAATTAAATAAAAACGAGAGGATAATCCATTGTATTTTGTCTGGAGGATTAATTCATCATGAAAATATATAAATAGACTTAAAAATAAATGAATTCATCTGTTTGTGTGGGTAATTGTCGTTGAATTTTCAACTGGCAAGGAATGCACATCCCATTATTTAGCACCTGTGCTGAGAAAATAGTCATGAAGGCTGAAATTTCAATACGCAGATGTTTAATGGTAATATTCCACAGATAAAACACTCAGTGTGTTTTCCGATCTGAATGCATTGACGAATAATTAACGTCTTCTCAGGATAAAATATGCTGATTATTTATTTATATATTTTCCTGATATCCTGCTCAGGTCAGAATATTTTATAAGCTCAATGGTTTTTTGGCATTTGTTTAATAATTATTATTTGAATTACAGTCAAGTACTCGATTGCACATTTTGGATATTCGAAACGACGTGAGTATGATAATTTATTATTTAAATCCTCACTGGTAAATTGTTTATAAATTTCAGAGCAACACCTGTGGGCCCAAACATTCAAGATGTGTGCGGGAAAAATGCAATCACCTGTCGCTATTTCATCTAAAAAATCATTAATTCTGCCTTTACCAGCTCTTGAGATGATTAAATTTCATAATTTAATGGGTGGCACTCTGGTATTGCACAATAACGGGCATTCAGGTACTGAAATAAAATTTTTATTCCATAAATTAATTCCAACAAACAAAAACATCTAATTCAATTTTATTTGTTTAAAATTTGAAAATTCACGTTGTGCTTTTCTCTAGTGCCATTTCTAACTGAAATTTTATAATTAATTTCACCTACAATCTAAATACACCGTAAATAAATTAATTATAATTAATGAGCGTCGATTAATTAATTAATCAATTAATTTAGCAATTCGTCAATCCGTGGCCGGGTTAGTTGATTAATTAATTAATATATTCATTGGAGTTGATTAATTCTGATGAATGCCTATCTTTCGTTTTAGTTTCTTTAAATTTTGAAAAACAAAATTCTGATGAACAATTACCGTACGTTTTCGGGGCAATGTTGACTGAAAATCAAAACTACGTGCTGCAAGGATTACATTTTCATTGGGGCAACAAGAATAATCGCGGGTCAGAACATACATTGAACGGAGTAAGGTATATTTTTTTATAATTATCCAACAATATTTATAAATGGCATTTTAAACAATAATTTCCACCCAAAAACCAAGAAATCAAAAAATTAATTGAGTTCAAATCGTTTCACTCATTCAATCGTCGAATTAAATCAAGCTCAGTATTCATTCAGTAGTTTTATATCCCTAATGAATATTCCAATCGTTTCTATATTAATTACAGGCCATTAATAAATAGATAAATAAATTACAAGCCAAAAGGAATAAATCCTCTCAAATTAATTAATTAACTAAAAACTCATTTCAGGTTCCACTCACTGTAATATTTATCCGATCATTCCCATTATTTAAGGGCCCAATAAATTATCAATAACAATACCTATTTAAATAATATTGAAATGTAAATAAAAAACTTTTATACCGGATTTTTATTTCCAGTTATCCAATGGAGATGCACATGATCTTCAAAAATACAGCGTATCCTGAAACAGCAGAAGCTTTGAGTAATGAAGACGGACTGACAGTACTGGCTACGTTTTTCCAGGTAATTAATTTCTCCTGGATTTATTATAATTATTAATTATTATTAATTGTAATGGAAGCCGTTAGTTGCAGGAAGACGACAACGAGAGTCTTAGTCCAATCGTTGAATCTCTGCCAGTGGTGAAATGGAAAAATTCGAGAGCTAATTTAAATGTTACTTTCACTCTTAATTCGTTATTACCGAAGGATACAGACACTTTTTACACGTACAGAGGATCATTAACTACACCTCCATGTAGTGAAGCTGTCACGTGGATAATATTTTCCATGACAGTCCCTATATCGTTTAAACAAGTAATTATTATGTTGCATCATTAAAAGAATTTAATCTCTCTGGATTTGAATCCAATGATTTTATATTTATACAGCAATTAACAGAATTTTAATTTCAATTTTTCATTTCATTAATTTGTACTTCATATCATCGTTTATCGTTATCTAATCAATTAATTATTGTTTAATTACTGTCATTTTTGCAGATGAATAAATTTAGAATTTTATCCAACGGAGAAGATGTACTAGCTGAGAATTATCGAAAGCTACAAAAAATAGGGAATAGAAAGGTGTACTTGCGGAAATTAACACCGAAATTTACTGATAATCCAGAATTGAATTTTAATTTGAATGTGTCGAGTTTAAATTGGTACTGGCAATGAAGCGATTAAGATATCAATGGATTCATATTAGACAGATATTTTTCGAGAATTAATTATTTACAAATTATTAATAAAAACCTTCGGGATCATTGCAAAAATCAATGGAATGGTGAAGCCGTGAGCTGCAAAAATCTTTCCAACAGATCGGAATAAAAATATATTTCGATTTATTCAAGAAACAGCAGAAATTCGGAATCCCCAGAGCAGAAGAGGTCGAGGGGCTCGTGGCAGATCTGTTAAACAATAAAAAACAATAAGAAATAATAATAAGTCTCAGTTTTTACCCCAGAGATAATGAAATTGATATTGAAAGGTGCAGTCTTAATTTTTCTTTCGAGGAATCGTAAACATTTTGTTATGTAAAATCATCTTCTATTGGTTATACTGTCATTCATTTTTTTGAGATTCGTCCCTCGTCAGGAATAAATCAAGGTCATACTGTAAAAGGATGAGTAACAAAAAAACGTATCTCCGGACATCCGGGAGATACGTGACTATTTTATTTAGATGAATGCACATGCAGGGAGAGACATGATTTTTGTTAATCGAATTTGTTGAACCGATTTATTGAGACGAGATCATCAAAGAGAGAAATATGTTTTTCAATTAATTATTCATTAACTCATTGGGATTTTTATAAATATACGATTTTAAAACTTGAATAGCTCATTTGGTCCTAAATTAATTTCTCAATTAGATATTAAATATTTAATAACAAATGAATTTTTAGGGTTTGATGATAGATTCATTTAAATAAATATTATTTGAATTAAAATTAACGTACGTTTTTCATAAAAAATTCGGAGATTCATCGATTTTGGAATCTTGACAGATCTCCAAAATTCGTGGACAGCTATCATCAATTAATCTGACCTTGAAGCCCCTGATATCTTGACCAATGTCTGATCAATTTAATAAAATCGGTCTCAACATTCCGATGATTTTTATGATGAAGTCATCAATATTTTCTCACGATCTCCGTCTCCTTCGACCAATTGTCCTGAAAACAAAAACGAATCCATAAAAATTCAAGGCCAAGATGAAAGTCGTAACCTTTATCCGATTAGATACGAAGGCACTCGAAAGAAATGAGGCAAACATATCATTGGATTTCGTAATAATTCTCGAATGATTGGAAAAAACATTTATGTCGTGACATAATATTGATGCACATGGATATCTTAAAAGTCTAGATTTTTTCTTTGTTTAAGTTCCGTTTTATTTCAGCTGGATTCAGTGTGCTGTCGGCCATCGCGGGTTGCGGTTGTCCCTTTGACATTCGATTTACTTTCTCACATAATCCCAAATATTTACAATTAATAATAATCACGTGAACTATGGACAGCAGTAAAAAATACGACAATCCAAATCCCCGGAAAACGGCGAATCCACTCAGCAAATTAATTTTTTGGTCAGTCAATTGTTTATTTATTTTATTTAAAATATATATAGCGAAGAGTCACACTGGCACTCAATTTAATATTAGCAACCATTTGTTTATTGTTAATGTATATAAATTATAATTTAATATATATATAATTTCCGGTGTAAAGCGGTTTTTCTAGACTGTTTATGTCATTGTAATAAACCGTATGATTTATTTCATTTTTCATTCCAGGAATGCACATCAATCATGACTCGTTTCTCTTTCATTAATCTATTCCAATTGCTCGGCTAATTGTCGTAAGATGACAGAACGAAAAAATCATCCAAGAATACTGCTAGTAGTAGCACTGAAGTGCTAGCTCATCAAATTATTCTCGCAATTCATTATAATCAAGCTGTCATTAATAATAAAGTCAATGGTAAATTTCTCGTTCTTCTCTATAAGGAAAAAATCTATAAATTATAAATATCAGTAAGAACTAAAGGTTCGAGGCATGATTAGGGAATTTTGAGAGGAGAATTCTTCGGTGTAGTCCTACAATGTTTAAAAATAGAAATAAACTTTACGGGTTATTGGAATTTCAATGTAAAACATGATTTGTAAATTTGTTGGCTTAGATAAGCGAACAAAAGACTGAGTAAATGATTTTCCGGGAGACATACATAATCATAAAAGCCCTTATCTTACTGCTGAAATACGCTATTAGTTTTTCTGTTGACATTCAAGATAAATATTTACGATTCTGCGAAAAGCATAACCTCCTTTTCCTTATTCTCCGGATAACAAATAAAATATTGAAATTAATTATTATTATTACGTATTATTAATTAATTGTAATCATTCCCGCAATACACAGTATCGTCTGACGAAATAAATAAGAATAAAAAAGAATAAATGAATAAAAAACCCCAACGACTCGCTGTTAGTCAGGATTTATTTAAACTTTATCAAGACTCGAATTTCGATTTTGTTTTAATTCTGGAGAGTTAATATTGAAAATCTATAAAACGTTTGAACTATAAAAGATAATTTGATCGTTTCAGGTGGCTCAAGCCTTTATTCACATACGGAAAAACAAACGATCTGGTGACAAAGGATTTATACAATATTCTGCAACCGGATCTCAGTGAGCCCCTTGGAGATGCCCTAGAGAAGAATTGGAATAAAGAATTGAAACGAGCGAACGATGAGGATAGAAAGCCAAAATTATTTACAGCAATACGAAAAACATTTCTCTGGTCCTACATTTACTACGGTGCATGGAAATTTTTGGATACATCATTACGAGTCTTGCAGCCTTATACACTTGGTCTTCTTATCAATCACTTTGCTCCCCTATCAAATGTCACGACAGCTGAGGCGTACATGTATGCCTCAGGTGTCGTAATAATGGCCATTGTAATTGCACTTATCGATCATCACGTGAACATGGGACAGCTGGAAATGGGAATGCGTCTGCGAATAGCAGCATCGTCGTTGGTGTACAGAAAAATTCTGAGACTCTCCAGATATTCATCGAACGAGACAACTGGAGGTCGAATAGTGAATCTTCTGTCGAACGACGTTGCAAGATTCGATCAAGTCTTCATATTTCTTCATTACATCTGGATAATGCCAATTCAGGGAGCAGCAATTGCTTATTTGATTTGGCAAAACGTTCAGGTAGCAACACTGGCTGGAATTTTACTGATTACCATCCAGACAATTCCCCTTCAGGGATATCTCAGCAATTTGACACTGAAATTACGGGGAAAGATAGCTGTACGGACTGATGAACGCGTGAGATTGATGAGCGAAATAATTACTGGTGTCCAGGTGATTAAGATGTACACGTGGGAGAAGCCATTTCAAGAGCTTGTGTCATTTGCTAGGAAACACGAGATTGATGTGCTCAGCGTTATATCATATCTTCGAGGATTTCACAGAGCAACATTCGTCTTCACCGAGCGTACGACCCTTTATTTCACTGTAATGGCATATGTTCTTCTGGGGAACGTGATATCAGCTGACAAGGTGTTCTCAATGGCGCAATATTTCAATCGCCTCCAGTGCACAATGGCGATATTTTTCCCCCTGGCAATAACATTTGCGTCTGAAGCTGCAGTCACCATAAATCGTCTTGAAAACTTCTTGATACTGAAGGAGAATCATCCACTTGCCATTCAGCAATCTCCAATCGAAATTACATCCATTAAGATGAAAGAGGTGAGTGCATCCTGGAACGAGGGCCTCATCGTCAATACTCTCCACAATATTAATGTGACGATTAAACCTGGGACATTGACTGCTGTTGTTGGTCCTGTGGGCTCTGGCAAGTCTTCTCTGCTCCAGCTGATTCTGGCGGAGCTTCCAGCAGCTCATGGTCATGTTGCAGTGGGTGGAACTTTGTCGTACGCCAGTCAGGAGCCCTGGCTATTCGCAGAGAGTGTGAGGAATAATATATTATTTGGTGAACCATACGACGAAGTGAGGTATCGACAAGTCGTGAAAGCTTGCTGCTTGCTCAAAGATTTTGTTCAACTGCCTCAGGGTGATAAAACACTTGTCGGTGAACGTGGATCATCCCTCAGTGGTGGACAACGAGCTAGAATTAATCTAGCTCGAGCTGTTTATCGAAGAGTTGACATCTATCTCTTTGATGATCCCTTGTCTGCGGTTGATACACACGTGGGGAAGAGTCTGTTCGAGGGATGCTTCAAGGAATATTTAGCCAACAAGACGAGAATCCTCGTGACTCATCAGGTGCAGTTCTTGAAGCAGGTTGATCATATTATTATGCTGAATAATGGCGTCATTGAGAAACAGGGGAGCTATCAGGATTTTCAGGAGAACGACTTCAAACTTATGAATCATCATGAATCAAATGAAGAGCAGAAGGAGCATGTGGGCGACGGAGAGTTGAGTCCAGTGTCAGAAGTCGCTTATTTCTCTGGTAAAAATGATGAAGTTGATGAAGAACCTGATGAGACTGAAGAACTAATGGCCAAGGGGAAGATCGCGTCGTCTTTGTTGTGGCAGTATTTCAGGGCTGGTAGCAGTTATTTCGTTCTCTTCGCGTTCGTTTTGTTTCTCATTCTGGGACAATTGGGGAGCAGTGGCTCTGATTACTGGGTCGCACATTGGACTAAGCAGGAGGAAATCAAGTTGGAAAATCCTATGAAGCATTATTCACCGAAAACAAATGGAGAAAATGGATCTAGACTTACTCATGACTTCCCGTTTAACGGAAACATTCGCAGTGGGACCGAATCATCTCATTTAGTCAGTAATTCCACATTCTTTAAATATTCCAATCAGTATTATGACAGAGATACTGCACTCTGGATTTATGGAGTCTTCATAGCAGGGTCTGTTATCTTCACTACAGCCAGAAACATAATGTTCTATAAAATTTGCATGGATTCCAGCAAAAATCTCCACAATCTCATGTTCTCCTGTCTGCTGAAGGCTCCAATGAGATTCTTCGATACCAATCCCTCAGGTTCAAACTTTTATCAATTACTTCTGAATATTTACTTTCAATATGAATTACCAATTATTTAGAAAGGATTTATAAAACTGTAACGACTTAAAATTGTGAAAAATTGTTTTAAAAAATTGAAAAAACTGAAAAATATTGTTTAAACTAGTGAAAAAGTACAGGACTAATTGAGTGATAATTAATATTATTAATTGACTGATATCGTTTTTATTCGACAGGGCGAATTCTCAATAGATTTTCAAAAGACATCGGCTCTGTTGATGAACTTCTTCCAATGGCCTTGATCGATGCGATCCAAATATTCGCGGTAATGACTGGAATTCTCGCCCAAGTTCTCATAATCAATTGGTGGACATTATTCCCGATAGTAATAATGGGTTACTTGTACTGGAAAATAAAGACATTGTACTTGGCAACTGCTCAGGATATCAAACGATTGGAAGGCATCAGTAAGAAATTACTATCTCCATGCAAAAATTATCTGTTACTCGCGCTTTGCGTGGGGTAATAGTACGGTATGCTACTCACGTTAATTGGCAATTAGCACGAATGATAAATAAAGTGTTAAATATTGTACTATTCCAGCAAAGAGTCCGGTGTATTCACACGTCAATGCATCATTAGCTGGACTGGCAACAATTAGATCAGCTAATGCACAGAAAATGTTGGCTAAAGAATTTGATAGTCATCAGAATATTCATACAGCTGCCAACTCACTTTTGATCTCAACTAGTACAGCTTTTGGACTTTGGCTCGATGCTGTTACTATCGTATTTGTTGCCTTTATCACTTACAGCTTCATTATTCTGAAAAATGGTGATATTTTTTTCTATTTTATTGTTTTTTTCGTCGATTTGTTGGCTCATGTGTTAATGAATTAATCATTTTACGGATTTAGAGGGAACCTTCGCTGGGAATGTCGGTCTGGCTATATCACAGACTTTAATTCTTTGTGGTATGCTGCAGCATGGAATGCGTCAGACTGCGGAAACTGTGGCACAGATGACGTCTGTGGAACGAGTGCTCCAGTTTACTCAACTGGATAAGGAAGGACCGTTCGAGAGTGAAACGAATTATAAACCCCCAGCAACTTGGCCGAGTCAAGGACACATCAAGTTTGATCACGTTTATCTTAAGTATTCAGAACAAGATGCGCCTGTTCTTAAGGATTTGAATATCGTTATTGAACCAGGCATGAAGGTAATTTAAATACGTCAAATATTGTGAATGATTGGTTGAAGTTTAACGAACAAATCAATTAATCAATTTCGACGAATGTGTAATTAAATGGCAATTAATAGTCAGTTGAGAATGTAAAATTCATGAATGATTGTAATAATCTAGTAATTAATACAGAAATATTAAAGAGATATTTTAATTTCAGATTGGAATTGTTGGTCGCACAGGAGCGGGAAAATCCTCTCTAATTTCTGCTCTCTTCAATCTAGCAACACTCGAGGGGAAGATTTATATTGACAAAATCGACACAAAAAGTATCGGCCTGCACGATTTGAGGCGTACGATTTCCATAATACCGCAGGAGCCAATGCTGTTTTCAGCAACACTCCGTGACAATCTTGATCCCTTCCATCAATTCAATGACGATGAACTGTGGTCAGCACTGGAAGAAGTCGAGCTAAAAAGTAGCTGTCAATCCCTGGATCATCCAGTCAGCCAGGGTGGAGCGAATTTCAGTGCTGGCCAGCGACAACTACTCTGTCTAGCCCGAGCTATCACCAGAAAAAATCGACTTCTTGTGCTAGACGAGGCAACAGCTAATGTTGATCCTGCCACTGATGCCCTCATCCAAAGGACAATCAGAGATAAATTTAAAGACTGCACTGTTTTAACAATAGCTCACAGACTGAATACTGTTATGGACAGTGATAAAATCCTGGTGATGGATCATGGACAAGCAGTGGAATACGATCATCCTCATGTACTTTTACAGAAGAACGATGGATACTTAACGAGAATGCTTAATGAGACTGGTGCTTCAATCACCAGCAATTTGAAGAGAATAGCTGAAGAAACTTTCAATCAGAAGGTGGAGAATCCTCAAGATGCTCAGGAACAGGATTAACTGTACTAATAATTATTTTCGATGGTTTATAATATATTTAGTATCAAATAGGATTTTTCCAATTGAACGAACATGACATTGTGGCTCTACTACTTAAAGAATTCGTCCATTACAATTTCTAATTATCATATGTACTAATACTTCAATGCGATTCAATTATGTGGTCTGTACAACCAAACGATTAGCACTTGAGCGAAAACTTGTCGATAACTCAATTATTTGAACGAAGTTCAATTGTAACTCAAAGTTTATTCTCGCACATCAATGTTTATTTCTAAAAGAAAAATACAAATGACATTAGTCCGCATAAGAGAGCAGTAGAAAAATATATTTTTATAATAAATTGTAAACTCGAATGAGAAGATGACTGTAACAAATGAGACTTGAACCTTTTGGAATGATTATATCAGCTGGACAGATCCATTTTTAACCAAATCAGCAACAGCTGTGTATTGTATGATGTGTTGAGATCCTTGAACAAAGTCCAACTCCTCGTCAACAGTTCCAGGAATAATAATTCCCTCGATTGTTCGATTCGCCCGTAGAAAAACGTGCGCATTCATCTGGGGTTTAATAGACAATTTATCGACTTCGAGTTCCTGGAAATTCTGCGGCACATGCTGAAGGACTAGACTCTTAAACAATGTCTCCATATTCACCGCATATTCATTGGCATATTTCAATTCATTATCCGTTAAATAACGACTCGCTGCATTCCTCTGGCCCTCACTCTTCAAAATCTCGATTACATTGCGCTCAATCTTCTCTAATCGAATCCTCAAGTAACTTGAAATTAAATATCTGATTCTATCGATTTCCATTTTATGAATTGTCAGGCGCAGATCACCTCTTGGAAGTCTTTTTAAATTTTCATCCATGTAGGTGATGTGGTGGAGGAGGCAGTCGACGTGATTCGATTTATGGGGGAGAATTTCAGGGGCAAATTTCTCGTTTATCCAGGCGTTCTCCATGTCTGTCAGAAGTTCAGCGGCTGTTCTTTCCTCACCGTCATCACTGGTGTCTGTTAATGACAGGTCTTCAACAGCTCCTAGACCTTCCTCCATATTTTATTCAACTTTCTTTAATTATTCCACAATTATCTCTTCTAGAATGATAAGAAAATTATTCTTGCATGTGTAATATTTACAAACTACTCTCCCCCATGTGTATCTGTATATATCATATAGAAATAATAATAATAACATCAACAATAATAATATTCTCAAATAGTTTCTGTGGTGCACCAAAGAGGGCGTCACCCAATCGTTTTTTATTTTTAATTTTATAAATCCTGATTAACAATATTTATGAAAATTACAATAAAAAATTTACAGCATTTAAATATTTCTGAATTCTTCGATTAAATAATTTTCAGCTGTGCATTGACAGAATATTTGGCGCGTTTCCATCTGCAATTCAAATCGAGAGAGTTAAGAATAGATTTCTATTGGCTGTCACACCAATCTCGTGGAATCACATTTTTCAATAGACCATACGACAAACAAGTGTTTATTTCGGAATAGTTTTATAATTCCAATATACAATAAAAAATTTCCACCAGGATGATGTAATCACGGGAATGAAAAATCACGTGTTGAGTGCAAGTGAATTCATAATTGATTTTGCAATAAAAACGTTATTGCCTCAGCACAGCTGTTTCGAGGGAAGTGATAGAATATTCAATTGCAAAGGTTAATCAAACAATATAAAAATCACATGTAAATTAAAAGACACGTCATAAGGAGGACTAAAATCTGTGATAACATGTGTATAAACCCATAATAACAACAATGGCGATTAAAATACCTGAATTATTTGTGTCCAGAGAAAGTTTCTGCACTGGATTATTATTTTTCTTGTTCATCACTTCAGTTTTACAGTTGTCACTAGCAGAACCAGAGGCAACATCTGGAACTGGAAACATAACAATTGGGACTGATTTGTCTCCAGCGATTTCTTCAGTAAATCCAATCCCTTTGAAGAGTGAAGGAGCTGCACAAAAGGGTGAAAAATGGTCCCCAAATGCTTCCCCGAGTATTCCACCTCCGGAAAATTCAACGGAAAAACAGGAAAACAGAAAACAGGAGACTGCAACAGATGGTAGACCTGGAAAAAACGTCCACAATACGACGACAGAGAGAAGTGTAACTGTAAATTCAATTGATCCTGTTTCAATTCCATCAGGAGAAGGTAGCAATGCCACAAACATCAGCACAACAACAGCACCACCAGTGGAGCCAATACTCCCAGACAAAGGATCAGCTGAAGAAGAGCACAACAGTTCAATGTCGATATTCTTCGTCCTCTGCGTTCTTGCCCTGGGAATTCTCCTGATCCACTTGATGCTGCAGACAAATTTCCAGTATCTCCCAGAATCTGTGGTGATAGTATTCCTGGGTGGAGCAATTGGTATGATAATAAATCTGATGTCCCACAAGAACATAGCAAACTGGAAGAAAGAAGAGGTTCTCTCACCCACAGCTTTCTTCCTCGTTCTCCTGCCACCAATAATCTTCGAATCCGGATACAACCTGCACAAGGGTAATTTCTTCCAGAACATCGGGAGCATTCTGGTATTCGCTATATTCGGTACAGCAATATCAGCATTCGTCGTTGGAGCTGGAATTTATCTCTTGGGACTGGCGCAAGTCGCTTACAGACTGAGTTTCGTGGAGAGTTTTGCATTTGGGTCTCTGATCTCTGCAGTCGATCCTGTGGCAACTGTTGCTATTTTTCACGCACTGGATGTTGATCCTGTCCTGAACATGTTGGTCTTTGGTGAATCCATCCTCAATGATGCCATTGCTATCGTCCTAACGACCTCAGTACTTGAATCAAATAATGGTGCTACAACTGGTGAAGCTATTATCCTCGGTCTCAACAGATTCTGCTTGATGTTCTTCGCATCCGCTGGAATTGGCGTTGTGTTTGCGCTGATAAGTGCTTTATTACTGAAGCATGTGGACTTGAGGAAGAATCCGTCGTTGGAGTTTGGAATTATGCTGGTGTTCACTTATGCACCTTATGCACTTGCCGAGGGAATTCAATTGTCTGGAATTATGGCGATTTTATTTAATGGAATCGTCATGTCACATTATACACATTTTAATTTATCTACTGTCACGCAGATTACTATGCAGCAGACCATGAGGACTCTGGCTTTTATTGCTGAGACTTGTGTCTTTGCTTATTTGGGATTGGCCCTGTTCAGCTTCAGGCATCGATTCGAACCAGCTCTTGTCATCTGGTCGATTATTCTGTGTCTCATTGGCAGAGCTGCCAATATTTTTCCACTTGCACTTCTTGTCAATCGGTTCAGGGAACATCGGATTACCAAGAAGATGATGTTCATCATGTGGTTCAGCGGACTCAGGGGAGCTATTTCTTATGCTTTGTCATTGCATTTGAATTTCAGCGATGAAACTAGACATGTTATTATTACAACAACTCTTATTATTGTTTTGTTTACAACTTTGGTGTTTGGGGGGTCTACTATGCCCCTTTTGAAATTTTTGAGGGCTGAGAAGAAGCAGAAGAACAGCAGGAGAAAACGAAGGGACAAGGAAATTTCACTCAGCAAAACTAGGGAGTGGGTGAGTTATTTTTTTATTATTTTCTATTTATTCGTCATTTCAAAAAGGAAATGTGAATTAATACGAATGCATTTCTATTTGTTAAAGACAAAAATAATTCAAATATAAAGGAATTCAATTATCAATAATTATTGTTTATTATTATTATTTTATTTTAATTGCAGGGACAAACAATCGATTCAGAACATTTATCAGAGTTCACAGAAGAGGAAATGGAGGTGTCATTCATGCAGTCACGAATTCGCGGATTTGCTCGTTGGGATCTCAAATTTTTCATTCCCTTTTTCACTCGGCGATTTACCCAACAAGAATTGAAAGACTGCAAATCACAAATGACGGATTTGACGAATCAGTGGTATCAGGCTATCAGGATAAGTCCTATGGAGTCTGATGAGGAAACAACTACAGCATCAACAGCACATTTGACAAGTGCTGGTGCACCAGTCGAGCCGAGGAGTGAGAGTGATTCAGGAAAAAAAGGACGTCCAAGTCATGGGTCTATATTGAGTATTTAATTACGTGTTTCAGAGTGTCTATCATGTGTTTGCTACGAATTCCAATAGCCAAGCTAACGCTAACTAGGTGTTATTCAACAGGACTGTATCGCTTTATGATAATTCATCACTCGAGGATTATCATCTCTAGTCATTGTCTCCAAGGAGGAAATTATCGCTTCATCATTTCAGTTGTTGTCTCTCAAATTCTGTCTTTAATTTATTATAACTGAGTAACTGAGAGGAATTCATTTCTTAAACATCTATCTGAATTCGTTTCAATTATTTTCTTCATTCATTTATTTATTTATTTTTAATTCCTCAAGTGGGAATGCTAAATGATGACTTCATTTTGAATCTATTTATAGCACAAAACGTTCGGCTATTGGTAGATCATTATTTTATTTGCAATGCGATAATGTCAGTCTCTCTGATTAATGAAAGTAGGGGAATTTTGGATAGTCGGGTAATTGTTTTCATCTCATTGCATTTTTCTCTTGCAAGTACTCGAAATTTTATGTTCCATTCACGGTGCGGTCTCTAATTCATCTGTGTCTGAAGATATCATTGTGGGAATTTGCTTTTGTATTTATTAACACATCGCTGGTTACATTCGTAATGAATTCAAAATTATCTCATCAAATCGATTTGCAATAGACTATTTTCTGGGAAAATAACTCTGACTTATTTCCTCTATTTCTCGAGTTCAAATGGGAAGTCAAATATTTTCCTATAATTATTCAATTGCAAGAGAAATAATTCTGATTCTCATTGCCACCAGCGAAGTGTCAAAATCGATAATTAATTATTAAGATAATTGGATTGTAAAGAAATTAATTCGTCAGAAATGATTAATTCAATTGAAATATATTAACCATTAATTTTCCAGACTTCTCGAGGATTTTTCGGATTTTTCGGATTGATAATTGATAGAGACCGACTGTTGGAGGATAAACTGTTGGAGAGATGCCAAAAATTATTCCCACAATTAAATTATTTGTAATTGCTCCCTCAATTACTGTTAGCGAATTGAACAGCGAAATATTGAGTACCAAACGGCTGGCCGGCGGGTATTAATTAATTTAACAGCGCAAAAATCTTCAATTGAAAGAATATTTTTTCAAGGAGGTAAATATTTTCTACTTCATCCAAGATTTGTATCTAAACAATAGCCTAGAACAATTATCTCAGTTGTATTAAAACCATACGGTATTGATCAATCGAATGATTAAATTCCCAATAATTTTTAATTAACTCTGAGTAATTAATTAAAAGGGAGTAGCGACAATTGGTGTCTCAGGTAAAACCAAAGTATTACTGAAGAAATAATTGAGTTGATTTTATTTATTTATCATCTAGAACTTGAAGTATTTTATTTATCCTATACCAGAGCCTTTTTAATGGGAATAATATGATAATGTATATGGACAATAAAGCTGAATAGTTTATACAAATGAACTAATGCATTTTATTTCATGTGTATTTTCACTTGATGTTAAGTACAACGATCTGCGTCGATAAATCGTCAAATTTAATCGGTCGTTCAATTGAAAATAAAAATTTATCCCTGAAATAACTGAAACATCCGGGTAAACACTTCATGTTCATTATCACTTCAGATTACCTAACGTTAATGCTCCCTAATTGTTTTCATCAGTTGTTCCAGTGCTTGTGCTTTTTTGTTGTTATTTATTTTCATTAATCTGGGTACACAAATGTGATAACACGGTCATGGGTGGGGCGCATAAGGAAACAGTAGAATTCCTCGCAACTAGCAATTATCATTTTGTTTATTACACAATTTTCCAATCGTCGGCATTCAAATATCGTTTATCCATCGCTCAACAATCGCTTTCACAAATGACTGGAGCACGCTGTGCATTTTTTTAAATCTCCGATTCACGAAAAAACTTTCACATTCTCTTATGAAATTTCACTGGTCCTTCACATTTTAATCAGGATAATAAGTTATTCCATGAATTGCCTAGAAAAAGTGAACACTCTTGGGTATTGGTTGTTTAGAAAATATTATCAAGTGCAAAATGTGGAAAGACTGAAAATTTACACGAATTAATAAACAATGAGAGTTTTAATTGTCAATTGCTCCGATTGTTATTCTCTTTTTTTATTTAATATTGTCTAGGCATTTATAAATCTGCACAATTGTCTGCTCCAGTCCATTCAAGTAAAAATTTAATGTAATTCATTCACATCATGCTTTCGCTCATTTCATTCGGCAAGAAACGGGAGCTTTAATTATTCACGAGTTTTTTTATATAAATTATTAGATAGGTAATGGGAGATAACTCTACACAGGTTATTTTTCACTCTTTTTGATCGTTCTTCATAATTTATCATCATTATTACGCCGTATTACCACTAATCACCGAAAGAATGAGCTTTCAGCTAAGCATGCAGATAAATACCAATTCTATTGTATTTGTTTTTCTTTTTTATATCATTTTGTTTTCTACAATATTCAATTCTGTCAATTTGTTGATTTACACGCACACCAGGTCCCCGGGTACCTCTGGTTTACTCATCTCTACCCTTGCGTGATTCTGGAATTGAATCAATACCATTACTTTTCGATTCTAGAACTAACAATAATAAAAACTACTCCTACCATTCGCATTTTCTTTTACCGAGTCACTGACATCAAAAAAAGCTTCATGAAGACACGCTAAGTCAATATTTATCGACCTACACTCGGGATACATTCACAGTTCACTGACATGTCTCGGCCTCGAAAAATTTTCTCCTCCCAAACTATAATTCATTATTACATTTTTTCTTTGTTTTTGGCTAAAAAAGGATAACTCCGTGTGATGACACGCAGTATCAGATTTAACAGCTAATCCATAATATTTGAGACGAAAATTACGTTCTGAACATTGAGCTACAGTATTTACTCGTCCCAATCAGTTGATTGAATTTATTTATTAATTCGCAGCGTGTCATTTATAGTTTAACGCAACATCTCAGTTTTTCTTCATTCGGTTAATCTTTCGGTTGTTTGATTAATTTTACAATTATATGCATTTGCGATCGTCAATGATCGATATTAAACTACAAATAAGTTCTCGATCAATTGAGATCCATGCGAGAGGATAAGGTAATGGTAAATTAAATTTATTCATTTGTCCAGTTGTAATTAAACGCTCAATTGGATAATTCATTTTCATTTTCATCGCATGGATTTCTCCGATCTGATGCTTTATGTACAATTAATTCAAAAGATTATTCTAGCTGCGTAATTTTATGAATTACATGAAAGGAATGGGGCATTATAAAAAATTTTTCACTTATGATTCATACGAGGGAGAAAATAACTTCTCGAAGGCGCCAAAAATCATGATTTTTTTTCGTGTCAATCAAATGGATTTAATTTTACAACGAACTCTTATTCAGATCTTCCGTGGGCACGCGCAGCATGGCCCATGTCTTATTATTTAATCTGAGTATTAATAAAAAAGATTTTCTCGTTGGGATCTCATACAAGACTTTTTTCACGTACAAAAGGGACGATCTCACCACAAAATTTATCGAAAAAAAAATATATCTCGGGCTTCTCGATAACGATTCTCTTGAATTTCATTCAAGCTGTCATCCGAAATTACACAAGAAAAGAAAAAGCGCGATTGGAAAAATCAATAACGGCAGGATTTCAACAAAAGAGATAAATGAAGTTACAATAAATTACACGAATTAACAATAAGATGGAGACGAGTGTCAAGAAGATAAATCATTGGTTGTGGCAAGATTTTTCGTTTCGTTGACAAATTTTCATGTAAGATTTGATCTCTAAATAAAAATTAAAATTTTCCAAAAATCCAATTATCTTTAGATTTAATCCAGTGATTTTTTTTGGGGGGAGATCAATGACATCAAACCCTGACACTCGTTATTAATTGCGCGATTGTATCGGCGAGCACTGAAGGAACGTTGACGTAGATTCAATGAAACTGAAGGATTTTAGTTTATAAAGTGCCGATTAGAACACAGTATAAAAATGGGAGAGAGGTAATAAAGGGGCACGTGAAAATTCACTTGATCTGTAACCACGGGTGCTTGAGGCACTCGGCAGCAGTAGCACGTGTAGTTGGATCATACTCCAGCATTGGCCTCAGAAATTTAGCAAATTGTCGGGCTTCACTGGGTGGCCACTCATATTTCTCCGTAAGTACTTCGTACAGGCCCCATGGTTTCAAGCCCGTGATGTGTTTCAATTCGCCTTTCTTCGTGAAAAATGCCGTCGAGTACTTGCCAGACAGCGCAATTCTACGGGGAATTTCACCGAGTAATTCAATGATGTGAGCCAAATGGTCCTCGTCCCTGCAACAAAATAAAAATAGTCAATGGTCGCTTGTATAATACATAAACCGTTTGTAATTTCATTAAGGCAGATCTGTTTCCACACTGGCTTTACAGTTTTACCACTTAATTGCATTAGGAAAATTCGGAAAAATAGACTGGCAGTTTTACGTAAAGAAATTTCAGTTAAAGAAATAAATAGAAACAATTATGATTCGTTTCATGATATTTTTTACCTCTAATGATTGAATAATTCAATTTTTAATCGTTAATTACAATGGAAAGGCCAAATTTTATATAAAATTTTTGTTAAAATTTGATAATTCCACAGTTTTGGCCTTAATAATAATAAAATTAACTAAATAAAATTGAAATTGAGATGTAGATTGAATGAAATTGATTGAATCAATCCAATTGAATACATTACTTAACGAATTGAGTGTAAATTTAAAATTAAATGAGATATAAATACAATTATTTACCTCGAGTAATCAGCACCACTATGTGGCTCAAAAAGATAATCTCCAGTAGCTAATTCAAAAGCCATACACGCTGTGGACCATATATCAGCAGAGGTATTGTACCCAGCACCAAGTAAAACCTCGAGGGACCGATACTGCCTCGTTTGAATGTCTTCAGTGAACTTTTTATGTACCCAACAGGCATTTCCAAGATCAGCTATTTTAACTTCTACCTCGCAGTCGACGAGTGCCGGATCGAGAGGTGCGACGGATGGTTTCTTCGATGATTTCAAATCGGGAATATCCAGCTGTGGCTCCTCATTCGATTCTTCATGAATCTCTGGATCTGGCAGAATAACTTCCTCACCACATGCTTTATCCACTTCACAGGGTGTGATGTCCTCATTCTTCTGGTCATTCTGGTCGTTCTGCTCGTCATCAACTGTCTGATTGTCCATTTTATCGCCATCAGAGAGTGGATCAACACCATTAAGGTGTGGCGGTGCTGGATCTGATATATCTGGCGATTCTTTGGAATCAGTGTTGTCCTCAATGCTCTCAGTGTTGGCATCCTGATCAGGACTGTTTGTCTCACTGCCACCACCATTTTCACTGGAATTAGGAACGTGTTTAGCCTGCTCCTCAATCTCTTGAATCTGCTCCATCTGTTTTTTCAATAATTCGTTCTGCCTCTTGTGCTTTTTCTTCATTCTCTTCTTCTTGTTTTTTGACATCTTCGTGTTTGGTGTTGGCTCTTGAAATTCTTTTGGTGCTGTTGATATCAGGGATACTGGAAGCTTGAGACCAAGTGAATGCAGTTCTGTTGCTACAAATGCCAATTTTTTAATGTACGCCTCGTCGACGCAAATTAATACGTTCTCCGGTTTAATATCCGTGTGAATGATTTTACATTTGTTGTGGAGATAGTCCAATCCCTCGAGAACTTGTCTGATGATTCTCTTGACGTTGTTACGAGGTATACCGCGGTAATTCGATTTTATTATTAATTTAAGCAAATTGTGTCCAAGTACTTCGAATACCATACATACGTGGAGACCATTTATTCCACTTATTTTGAAATCATTCAATAATTGTACTGTCTTGTTGCGTTTTGGATCGTTTGGATCTGTATTACGTACGTCTTTCAATAATTTTATCTCATCGAGTGCAGTCTCTGTAAAGTGGGATGCTGATTTCACAACCTTCAATGCCACAAATCGTTTATCCTAATTCAATAAAAATAAATTATCCGTTAATACAATAATTTTATTTTCGCTTCTGTAAGAAAAATTAATAAGTAAAAATACGAGAGTCATTTAATTTCCAGGGAATTAAAGAATTAATGACTTTTCGTTGGGAAGAGATAAGGAGAGGCAAGGGTTTCAATATCTCGGAGACTTCTGATAACAATGACGTGGTGAAGAGGAAAGTTAATACATTTTTTAATGAAAAAATATTCATGTTGTTTATTACCTGGAGATCCCAGCACAGCCAGACCGTTGAAAAATGACCCCAGCCCAATTTCCTGGCAACATGATACCGATTCAAAAAGAGATCACCAATTTTAACAGGATGATATCCCCCTTTGCAGTAATCATCCCTATCCTCTTGCTCCTCTTCCTCACTGCTGTACACCTCGTCATCATCCTCGATGGTCTCATTGCTCGAGCTGTGGCTCGGTTCCAACCTAAAATTTATCATAAAAAAAATCATTGACACGAGGAGAAAAAAATATATAACGATCACCCAGAAAATCTCGATTAAAGATAATAAGACGTTTGTCTATAATCCAGATAAAATAATTAGTTAATTACCTGTTTCCATTGTCAGTGGTAAATGTTCTTTGTCCATTACCATCCTGTGTACCCTCACCAATAGTCGAATGACGTGTTGGAGCTTTTGAACATGTTGCACCGCTGTTCTCACTGTCACCCTGTGGATGATTTTTTCCTTTTCTCTTCGTCGTCTGCTTGTAACGTTTTTTCTTGGCTTGAATCGCCAAAACCCGACGATTTACCGACGCTTTGGTGCTCATATTATTTTTGCGTGTGACCGCTTTAAATCGTTACGTGTTCACCCACGCGACTCGATTGATTATCAGTAAATTATGATATTTTATCAGTGCTTCACTTTAATACCGTTTTCATCAGCTGGTGGTGAATTTAATATCGGTGGTAATTTCCTTTTTTTTTTTTATTTCAGATTTCTTCAGAATTCAAACATTTTTGCTGAGAGACGTTTGGAGTATATCATCGCTCGGCGGTTGTTTGAGTATGGCCGACAATTTTGGAATACTTCAATCAAAGTGAAGATTAAATTTGTGTCAATGAATTCTCGTGTATATCAATTAATTCAATCGACAGTTGAACATTACAGCAATCGATTTTGCAGTTTTTAGAGCGTATCTTCGTTATATCCACACATCAATCTTGATTATTATTATTACTATTGAACGACGGAGATGATTCCTCTGGTTTGCAGGTGTCTTGTCCTGACACTTTATTTAATCGGTGGTAATTGATAGGTAATTACGGTTTTTAGAGTTGCTCTTTCTAATTTTCAGCCACTCGTATCTGTTTTATTTTTGACACTCGACTCTTCTTTTCTCCACGATTGTTATAGATTGTACTGTCCCTTCCGGCGCGGTTTGGCGACGGAATTTTTTTGCGGATTTTTATTATTGGGTTGTCGCGTCGGCCATTACGACGGGCCCCGGGAAAATTTGAATCGGGTATTTTTGGTATTTTTTGGAGGGGATGGATAAATCAACGAATCACTCGAAGTTGGTCGATTTTTATTAATAATTATTTATGGGGCTTTGACAATATCACTGGGATTACTATAATTAGTTGAGAGTCTTGGGTGATATGGACACCCCAAGGGGTTCTCATTAAGTCCAGAATTTTTGCAAGAGGAAATTTTTAGGGAATTAAAAAGATGAGACAATCAGAAATTCTGGTAATTGTGTGAAATAAATATGGAATAATGAATTTAAACTGATTAATTCAATTCAATTAATTCCGAAATAATTAATCGAATCGGAGTGTCCATATTCTCCCCAACTCCCCTATTATTAACGAATCCTGCGCATTTATCTGACAATTTTAATTGTTAATTGATTAATTACCTTTTGTCAATACATCAATCACCAATTAAAATTTGCCTGCATAAAACTGAGGAATCACTCACAACTGTCGGTCTGACAGACAAAAGATTCGATTTATTCTTCTCTATTTACCAAAAAAATCTCCACCTTTTTGCATTAATAATTAACAAGAATATTTTTCCCTCTCAGTTGTTATTAAATTTTCTATTGAATGTTTGTATATTCTTCCGTAAAATTAGATATGCAGAAGCTGAGGAAAAATATTTTGTAAAACCGAAATGATAAGATAATATCCGAGGGGCGCATGTTTTTTTTCCTGAAAATAGATCGTCCACGATTCAGAATTGAATTCGTTGAAAAATGTTCATTCATTATTTATCATTCCTTTTATCTTCAATTTATTACAGACTTGTTAAACAAGACAAAAATTATGTTGAACATACGCCCCTTCGATTTTTCAAAGAGCGATCCACTTGCGTTTTGTAATTTTACGCCGACGATGAAATGTACGAGACAAATTCCCGAATTTCAATGATTTATTCCTATTTTTTTGTTTAATTTCATTTAAACAAACGTGCGAGCATTCCACAATATGCCTTGAACACATGATCATCGTTTGACTCCACTCTACTAATTACTCATTACCAATCGATTTACTTATCAAATCCACTCAAATATTGCACTTTGTGTATCAAATATGCATCTAATAATCGAGTGACTACGAAAAAATATTGCTAATATGGCAAAATCGTGATAAAAGCGTTCTTTCTTTTCCCTAAGCGTCAGATATAAATGATCATTCATCCTAGGAGTCTCCCCTGATTAGTCCGTCAGTGATGCTGACGAATATTGAAACCAGAGAATTGCCACCGTCTCTCCATATTTGCTCCAATTCCTGATAATTCTTGTTTGAATACTTGAGGAAAACGTTGCATCAGCCCTTCGACTTCATTCGGTCTTATGCCTGGCTCCATTTTCTGTAGATAAGACCACACGTAATCGACAGATGCTCCAAAGGGATGGATATGTAGAAATGTTGCCATCAAACCTGAACCAAAAAAAAAAATTCAATTCATAATCAAACTGCAATAAAACTAATTCCATCACAACAATAACGCCTAACCGATTAAATTATTGAATTCTTAAATTCTCAATTGAAAATTGTGTCCTTGAAGATATAATTGTATCAATAGCATTAATTAATGTTATGATCAATTAATTATTGTCAATATTAATCAGAAATGAAAGTAAAAAATGAAAAATTTATGAAAAACTTTAGTTTTTCTTTGAGAATAGAAGATTATTATTGTGAGCAATTATTTTAATGAGCTAATTAATTGATTATATCATAAATAATTGACGTACCAATTAATTTAGCATCTTTCTGAGTGACTTGAATACATCCTGGCACCGATGCAATGGGTTTTGGAGTTCTCGGCTCCTCATTGATATCATCATCTTTATCCAACGTAATGACTTCACTCTCAGATGACTCCTTATTCTTCATACCATTCAACTTGGCTGTCAAGTCTCTGATCTTCTGATCATCCAGGGAATGCTGTTTCCTCGACTGCATCAACTGCTCTTGCATTCCCTTGAGAGTCTGTTGAAGCATTTTCATCTGTTTCTCTTTAGAATCGATTTCCACTTTCGTCTCAGACTTCAATAAATCCACCTTACGAATTAAAACGACAATCAATAAATTCATTCATTTTAAATGATTGACTATTTTAATTGCAGGACTTACCTCATTTTTATAAGCCTCCAATTGACACCTCAAGCTGTCAGCCTCTTCCTTGAGTACCTGGACCTTAGCAGTGTCGTCCAGGTCCAGCTGAATTCTCGATCTCTTCCTCAAAGGCTCGTCCTCGGAATCCGAGACCTCCATCTCACCCTCACCCTCCATCAGCGCCTCCTCCAGCTGAACAGTCTTGATCTCCTGTATCATAATCTCTCATTAATCCCCAAGCAACACATAATCCAATTAAAATGTGAAATCAAATGCATTTCGCAAATGGTTTATTCAAGTCCCTAAATCTCCCATGCAAATTATCATTATTCAACAGAATTTTAGTAACAAAATTCAAATTAACTGAATAATTGCGGCCACCACCATAGCTCGTTTGATGTGAAGAAAGCCAATTTCAACGCTAGATTGTCTCATTGTGCTTTTGTTCATGCGACTATATACAACAAATAGTCTCTGTTGTTTATGCATTGATAAATGATATTGTATGAAAATGCCAACAAATTCACTCTAGACTTACCTGCCCTCGGGACTATTAAAAGCGTCATATTCTGTTTCATCGTTGACGGATTACAATTGAATAAATGATAAAAAAAATTAAACTCTTGGAACCACGTCCTCTCGTTTTTTTTTTAAATTGTCAATATTCTCTGACGATTTGTTTTTGATTTGTCGGAAGGTGGCAAAATACATACCGAAGACTGTTTCTTCCACATCTCGATGTTTTTCCTCTGTGCCTTGGTGAAGTGATCCCAAACCTTCTTGTGACTGGCGGCCGTAAACACACGTTCGATCTGACCAACTGTTGAAGTTGACGCGGATGTTGCATGTTGCATACGAAACACAAATGAAACACAAATCCTATGTTGTACTTCCCACTCTTTACGACATTGCTTTCATTTACTTCTCAATCAATTTAATTTTTTTTTGTTCTTTTTTTGTTTAATTTCTTTTCCTTGTCATTCCCTATTATCGTACTTTCTGGTGGCTGTCAACGATCTCCATTGCTAATTCGGTTTTCCTGCTTCTTTCAACTAATGAGTAATTCTTAATATAAATTTTTTATACTTTTTCGATGATCACATCGTCCTGTCAATCGGTTTTATCGCCTCTGCTTTTCTGTTACATTCCTTACAGTTAAGTTTTCCCAGCGTGATTTTGAATGACGAGTGTTTCGGGCGGATATTTGATAAGTAAATTGACAAATCGATTGTTAAATTGATTTATTGTTGATTTTTTGGGGCCTATAACACTCGGCATTCATCCTCATCATTACCAAATGCATACGAAATGGCCCAACACCTTCAGATCCTTAGCATTGCCAAACATGCGATTTCCTCAGGTCTACACCGTCAAAGAATATATTTGGTGATTAAAGTACAGATTGTCTCCGTAGAAAACTCGCGTGACCCGATCAGTCTGTAAGCCCCACATGTTGATCCCAAGAATTGAGCAACTTACCAGCAATAAATAGTACGCAGTGGCAACTTTTCGTTGTGATTTACTGATTATCCGGGAGCGTCAAGATGGTAATTTAAAATACCTTCCTGAAATTTTTACTTACATTGTATGAGGAGTCCTTGCATCCGACCTTTCATTAGCTCTTTTGCTCTCTGGAGTTCTTCCTCGTAGGATGCCCTCTCTGTTAAAAGCCTACGAACGTGGGAATTTGTGGATTGAATCATCGAGTAGAATGTATTTGCGTTGCGTTTCGTACAGTCTCCACGTTCCAACCATGTAACCACGATCTAAAATCATTTCACCAATTATTTTTATTAAGCTTCAACGTCTGTCGACAATTAAAATACGATTTATCGCAATAGCGTTTTATTGAGAACAAATTCAAATTTAAAAAGCCATTTCTACAATTTTCTAATATTGATTATTCATTGAATTATTTATCCCAATTATCCAAATTATCCATATTATCCAATTTCACTCAGCAGAGGTATGAAAAATTGAAAGTTTGTTGCTTTCCTCAATTATTTAGAGGCAGGAATCGAGCTGTTTATTCAAATTATCTGCAATTTCAAGGACTTACCTGGACAGCTTTCATGAACGTATCGTCTTGTTTAATTTTTTCACAGATATTGGAAGCTTCATAATCAGTATAATGGACAACAGGTGGTGGACTAGATTGCATTCTTTGTCGTTCCTCCTCGACTTGCTCTCTGTGCCTTTGCATACGCTGCAATTGCCTCTGCTTGCACTCCCACTCGTACTGATCATCTCTCGCCTGGACAATAACAATTCCACATGTTATTAAAATAATTATTAATATTTTCCTAAATCACTCACGTAGATATGGGCATAATCGACATAGAGTCTTCCAGTATTAGCAGCCTCGACTCCTGACCCAATCCTAACTCTGTACCCAGAAAGAAAAATTGCAGAATCCACACTAGACTCAGCTCCAAATCTTATGTGACAGAAATTTTTCTTGGATAACCGAAGGGTTGTGATCTCTCCGCATCTTTCGAATATCTCCTGGATCATTGCCTCAGTAATATTTTCAGGCAATCCTAGACGGAAGACAAATATATATAAATCACTTAAACTATTCCCACAACAATCTGCTATTCAATTATAAATCCACACCAGCAGTCAAATCTTTATCAATTCCACGATTCAATAATTACAATCTCTACAATATTGTTCTCAAAATATATACCTCCAACAAAAATAGTTCTACATCCTGGCGGTCGTTCTCTGGTGGTGGGTGGTGGTGCATTAGGATTAGGAGGGATGAGGGTACAACTTTTGAGATGAACTATCTCTTTGGTAGTCTGAGGTGCAGATGGAGGCGGTGGAATTCCACTGCCCATTATTTGGGCAGCAATATCAGTGACAATAGATTCAGGTGATATAATTGATGGGCCCAGAATGGCACCTTCGTGATGCATCATTCCAATGCCCATGGGTCCATATCCATGTCCCATATGGGGTAGAGCCATTTCTCCTATCATTGGTCCCATCGCACCCATGGGATTCATTCCCATAATTGAATAATCCATTCCCATACCCCACACCCCAGATGTCTGATCAATCTGCGATACATTGGCAGTACTAGTGGTAACTGTTGGTGTTATTGGTGCTAAATCATTGCTGTTGTGATTACTATTCGCTGAACTTGCTCTCTCTTCGATTCTTCTGTCATCGACTCGCCTCTCTCGATCATTTCTCTCTTCTCTTCTCTCTCGATCTCTATCTCTCTCCTTTCTATCATTCCTCTCACCCCTAGATCTTCGACCATTGTCTCGGGTATCACGTGCCTCACGATCTCTTCTCACTGGATTTTTATCACATCTACGATCCACTGGATCCTCTGTACTCTCACGAACTGCTGGTGGCTGATTTTTATTTGTACTGAATTCCAGGGGAGAATCGTTCATACCTGGCAATGGCAGAGGGGGTGGCAAGGGTGGAAAACCCTGACTAGCCAATTCCATGAATCCTTGGTGACTGGCCAGGGGACCAAGCGGACCCATCGGACCCATTCCTGAAATTTTTATCAATTTTCAATTTTTTTTATTCCTTTTATCATCTCCACACAAAATCACAGACTCTGCAGATCTTTTTTTTTCATTCAACTGTCAATTAAACAATTAATCATAATGTTTATCATAATGTTTAATCGTAATGTTTAATCATAATGTTTATCAATTTTTTTCGAATCTTCAAATTTATAAAATTCATTGAATATCGCAATTTAATTTTCAATTATTATATTCTAATGACAATTAATTAAAAATTCTACTTTCTGAATAATTTTAGATTCTCCTTTGGATTGAACAATAATTTATTGTTAAATCTCTAGAGTCAAGAATTATAACAACAATTGGAGATAACAATTCCATCCAGTTCAGTTCATTCGATAGTTAATTATAAACAAATGAGTTTCGTATTCCAACGGGATATAAATTATAATCCTGTTCGTTCTTTCATTGTTTATGTACAAAAATTAAATCCAGAGCAATATTTTTATTTCAGGAAAAACTCGAGAGGTTAGAATAATTTTCACTCACCCATTGGTGTCATAGCAGGCATTCCAGGAAAATTATAGGCCATTTTCGAAATATTCCCCTGGAATTTGACAGTTTCGTGTCAAATCTCGTAATGGCACACCAAAAAATATTAAACTGAAATAATTATTCACCAGTTGAGACGAACCAACTCAACTCTCTTTTTACTGAAAACAAAAAAATAATCAAGATGGCACCTTTTCGTGGATTTCAGTTCAATGTGATATGTTGAATTATCATCGCAGTTTGTTTCTCCGATTTTTTGTAATTTAAACGTTCATTTATTTAACTATGAAAACAAATTCCAACACTCGAATCACTGGCATCCGAGTTGTGCTTGTCCCCTACAGAGAAGAACACGTAGAAAAGTTCGTTTTCATCCTCAATTATTTCTCTGAAACGTATCCCTTCGTTATTATGTAATTTATATTTATAGGCATGTAGTCGATTACAATTTATTGTTTAAGCTACGTTGTTAATAATTTTACGTGAATTGCGGATGACAAAAGAAAATGGAAAGACGAGTTTAATCGATAAAACTCTTATTATAGTCAGACTATTTCTGTCTACATCTGCGCTTCATTTTTCATAATATAAAATATTAAAATTAGAATAAAAAAAATCAAAGGAGTTATTTTAATTTTTGATCAATCAAATCGTTAACATATGATGAGAATTATTTATTCATTTATATAAAATAATCAGGGAAATTAAAATTGAGGGGATGAAATTATGATGGAATCCTCGTAAAAATTCATTAAAAAGTCATTAAAATTGTTATTGAATAATTGTTATTAAATAATGGGAATTGATTTTTAGGTACCACGAGTGGATGAAATCTCCGGAACTTCAACATCTGACGGGGTCTGAACCTCTTTCACTTGACGATGAATATAAAATGCAAAAATCTTGGAGAGAAGATGAAGACAGTGAGGAATTAAAATTCAAATTTATTCGATAGATTATTGAATACATTATTAAATTAATTCCAGAGTGCACTTTTATCATTCTTGACGCTGACATGTACTCCAGAACGAATAATGAAATTGAATCGATGATTGGTGATACCAATTTGTATTTTAATGATGCTGATGATGGTCATGCTGCTGAATGTGAAATAATGATTGCAGAGGAGAAAGCAAGGGGTCGAAAATTCGGGTGGGAGGCCATGATCTTGATGTTGAGATACGGTAATTTATTTAATCATCAAAATTTCGACTGCACCGAAGGTACAACAATTTTTTGGTAAACTAGAATAATTTCTTAATTTTCAACGCCAGTTTTTTGGAAATATCTCGGAATCGAAGGGAGATACTGATATTTTTATTGATACCTTTTTTCCAGCTCTCATTTTCCTCTAGAAAAAATGTCTTCACAAAAATGTTGATATCTTCTTTCTATTCCGAGATATCGATTAAAATTTGGGCTCGAATAAAATATACTTATTTTAGTTTATCAATTGATTATTAAATTATTAAATTGAATGATAAATCGATAAAATTTAATAATGATTTAAAGGATAAAACAACGAAATCCATCTACCAATCAGTCTTTAACGATTGAATTTTAGTTAGAAACTGAATTGATTTGATTTCTTCATTTTTTTTCTTAGGAATAGAAGTTCTAAAAGTGTCTAAATATTCAGCAAAAATCAAAATGAATAACGAAAAAAGCATCCGAATGTTTGAAAAACTCAAATTTACAGAGGTAAACTGAAATTTCACATCAAGAGAAAATTTACAGATTTATTTCATTCAAAAAAGATCGAGAACTTAACGACGAAAAACTCTTCTAGGTGAGCAGGAGTGAAATTTTCAAAGAAATTTCCTTTTCGCGGAATATCGAGAAAGAATGGAGTGAATGGCTTGTGCTGGAAACTTCCGGTGCCCATACAGAAGATCAATACTGTTCACATGAGCTGTAAAAAACGTGCCATAATCATTCCATTGACCTTCTGCATCAAATCTCTTCATTCTTTAAAAATCATTAAACAAATAAAAATAAAAATTCTATAAACTCAATTAGTTATTGTTGAGGCACTAGCGATTCAATAGAATTTAAAAAAAAGAGTAAATGTCTAGGGTAAGGAGTTATTGCCGATATCTTCTCATTTTTCAGGTTTTGTTTAATAAATAAATTTAAGTAAATAAATAATATACAGTCTTTAATATTTTATTATTATTCAATATCTCATTCAACGTATGACTATGAAAATTTGTGAGTCATTGAAAAATAATAAAACCAAAGAATTTGTAAAAATATTATAATTATTAATATTTTTTCACGTCAATCTAGTCCACAATTTCCCTTAAACTTCCAAAAACATAAAAAAAGATAAAATATCGGTATTAATTCCTTGACGTCATGTTGAAAATAAGAAATGTTTAAAAAAATCATCAATCAATCAGTCTTGCAAATTTATAAATAATAAATAACTCTGGCCCTTAATTTATCAAAATTTCAGATTTTCCAACAAAAATTCTTCACCAGAAAAATCGGAAAATTCCAATAGTCGAATCGGGAGAACTCGATAAATTCCGTAATCCTTCACTTCCCGCCATCAAAACCTCTGCATTTGCTGCATTATTCCTGCATTGTATAATCCAGTTGAGACACACCAAGAATCAAGCTAGAGGATCTCCAAGATGTGCCACCAGGTTAGTCTAAAAAATATCAAGACCCTCAGTACAGATTAAAAACTTCTCTTACCATTTTTTAAATTCACTTCTAAACTTTATATGGGGAATTGGATATTATTGAAGATGATTGCCCTTAAGTGCTGTCCACCGGTGCCCGCAGTTATTTTCAATGATCCTCAATTAAACATCCGGAACAGATAAATATTGAAGCCAAACTTCGTCATTCCCTATCTCATTAACAGAAAATTTGATAACGAAAATGAATTGTGATAGGACTGACTGGAATTGACACAATGCGGTTGATGGACGGATATTAGTTTCTACATTTTTCCCTATTCCCCTTCCAGTACCTGTTGAATCCCCGAGGAGTAAGTGCAATAGATATTTCATTCCCAGAAAGATCAGTGAACAATTAAATATCTCATCGATTTTTATTGCAGGGAGAGCATCGAGGAGGGGAATAATCAGAAATAATCAGTTTGTGTTACATCATCTCAGGGAGATATCGCTGTCCAGAATGTCGATACTAAAAAATATATTTCATTTCGTCAAGAAGAAACCGTTGATCATTAATTCTGTTATCTACGGATCTTTTTATACGAGTGCTGAATTTCTCCAGCAAACGTACAAACAACAAGAACTGAAGAGAGAAAATGTGAGTTGAATAAAAAAATTTTTTATTACTCGAATTGTGGAAAATTTGACATTTCTTCAGATTTTCTTTTTAAAAAAATGGTTTTTCATCTGCAAAATAAATCATATTGTTTGCATATGTTTTTAATTTATGGCGTGACGTAAACGCGTATTTGTTTAAATGATAAGCCCAGATAAATATTATAAATAGTAATATTCAAAATGGGAGAATTGATAAATCCACTTTGGTACACGTGTTATCGTCAAGCAAAACGTAATTGTAAAAATATAATTTAAAAAATGATAATTAATTTTGTAATTAAGCTGTTGCCGTCCAGAAGACTGACTGTAGCTGAAAATGAAACTCCACTGGTTGTTATTGGATCACGAAGAAATATTGAAGTGGATTCAAATAAAATAGGAGAAAACCTAGAAGAAAATGGTTACAACTGGTCTGTCCTGCGGAGATACATCGTCTATGGATATTTTTTGGCTGGTCCAATACTCCATGGATGGTAAAATAAATTTATTCGCATGATTATTATCATTGCATTGCACGTTGCATTATTTTGCTTCTTGATGTCACGATTAATTCGATACTAAATCCCTTTACTCTTTAAATTAAGAACACAAGAGCATTCCTCTCCAAAATGCAACTATATCTCATTTTAGTGATGGATTTAATTGATCACTTACGAGAAGATGATGCCAGATTAAGTGATTCTCTTCCTTAACTCATCTGCATTCATTGGTGAGCTTTATGTGATCATAAATAAATAAAGAATTCAAGTCCTATTGTCTTTCCAGCACGCTGCCTTTTTCTGATGCACCTCGGGTCTATGTATTTAATTAAAATTGTATAAATCATTAATTTAGGACTGATTGTAATCAACAAACGTCGCATAACTATCAAAAATTGATTTTACCATTTTTCTATTTGATTTTTACGTTTATATTATTCAAGAAAAATTATTTATTCAGATCGTGTTGATTACAATCTGTTGATAAATTATTCGAAAAATAACAAATGCAATTTATTTATTTCCCACAGGTATTTATGGCTCGATAAATTTTTCGTTGGAACAACTGGTGCAGTTGTGATGAAGAAATTATTCTGCGATCAGTTTATTCTCACTCCACCCTTGCTCGTGTTATTTTTCAGTAGTAAGATTTGATAAATATTAAATAACTCATTAAATTCATCGACATTATCACCGACTATTAATGAATATTAATTTAATTACAGGTATGAGCTTGATGGAGGGAAAAGATGAGATTCTGGGAGAGTGTAAAGCAAAATTCGTCAAAACATTCCAGGTAATGAATAAATCATTATAATAAATAGAAAATTAGATAAATTAATGGACATTGTGTTATTTTCTTTTGCAGACCTCTTGCCTTTACTGGTTACCAGTGCAATTCGTCAATTTTCTTATTATCCCACCAAAATATCGCGTTGTTTTTGTAAGTATCGCTGCTTTCCTCTGGGTAAATATATTATGCCACCTCAAAAGAATGCCTGTCGCCGAACAATAATCCTCCAGCTGTAAAATCCACTGAAGGATAATAATAAATACATTCTATTTCTCACATCTGCCTCGTTTAATTAACAATCAATCAAGTACGAGGTCTCAAAACAAATTCTTTTATTTTTATTTATTCATTCTCTTTTGATTTGAATTACGAATAATTCACTCTCACCTCAGAGATAGCAGATAGGAAAATGATAAATCGTGATGACAATTTTAACTCACAATGTAATCACAAAATCCATGATTTTTCGATTTTTTTTTATTTATAATGACAACCACTTTATTTCATTTTCGAAATTCAAGGCATTCATTAACTCGAAATGCACATAACGATTGATATTTGGTATACGTGGTACATTGCCTACGTTTTGAATACTGTTTGCGAGGATCAATCCATTCTAAATAAAAAAAGAATATTTCGTGGAAAAGTTCCCAAGACATTTTGTTGATAATTTTTTTTTATCACAATTATTTAATTAGTTGACTCGTAGTCAATAGTCATATGCGTTGTCAGGATCTAAAAAGATTCGTTAATCATTAACGATTTATTATTTTCATCAAGCAGTTAAAATATTTATGATTCTCTTTGGATTTAGAAATATATACCTTCTTAAAAAAATGGTATCTAATTCAGAAAATGGAACGATTGATTTCATGTTTACGTTATCGAAAATGAAATTATCGCAGTCCCTTGGTTTATTCAATATCTCTCTGCATTTAGTAAAACATTCACATGTGCATGCGTGTAGCAATTCCAAATAATATTTTTCCCGTTAAAAAATTTCACTAAGCTATTTACAAAATTAATCTCCTTTGTAATCTATTTTATTCTGAATAACTCGTTAATTGTCAAATCATTTATCTCCTCACACTTAAAATAGTGCGTGACAAGCGTGCATCGATTATTTAAATAATTAATCGAATGCTTCGAGACTTAAAAAAAAAAAATGATGCGTTCAATACCATAATTGAGAGCTCCATTGATCACAATTTAAACAATTGTGATTCAATCTGATTTATTTAACCTACTAGCTCCTCCCATCACACGATTTTGAAGGAAAAAAAAAAATTGTCGTAGTATTCTCATTAATTTTTCCATTCGTAAAAATAATTGAATATTTTTATTTATTAATAGGGCAGTTCTTGGCAAACGACTTGTGATCGATAAATTGATAAAAGTAATAATTGAGAGGTTCATATACCGTCCGATCGTTTGCCAAATATTATTCCCAGTCTTCAATGCTTTCATTCCCTTTTCTACGTGAAAATACACGTATATAAAATTATAAGCGATACAATGATCACTCGACCGCATTTGTGCAACAATTATGCTCAATACTTCGGCCTCGACTCTCACATTCGACACTAAAATCCAGTCCCAATGTACAATTCACCTAAAATTTCATTCATTTTTCACCTATCCGCTGCTCCATTGCCAGTGGAACAATTATGATAATCTCCTAAATGCCATCCAGCCCTATCTCGTTGAGAATATATTCATTGTTCCACTTGCTGTGCGTTTTCTGACTAATCTTGCAGCCACTGAAATAATGAGAAAATAATTAATTCTTCATTCATTACACTTAACATATTTATTCAACAATTGAATGAATTTCTACTAAAAACAGAGATTAAAAGAAAAGTTAACGAATTCCAGTGTAATTTTCCACGAAATAAAAAAATCTGTGATAATTCTGCTCTGATGCAAAGAATATTTAAGAATTATGGAGGAATGGTTCTTGGAAAAATCATTGGTAATTATTGAATATGAGAAAATAACTCACCAGTTGCATCTTGAGGGGTTAGAGGCTTATCAATGACTTTCTGTATAACATTCATCCACTGGGTTCGATCATCTTCACTCTGAGCTGACAACAGAAAACTCCGGTCTGGGGTTTCAAGGGTGAAGGAAAATCCTTGGTCTTTGGCACCAGCAGGGACCCCCACCTTCAGAGCAAAACCCTCAGAGCTGTGACCAATAAAAATTTCTCCCTTTGGATGTGCATCCTGGAAGAGAATAAAATAAAATAAATCTCAAATAATAAACCAATAATAACTAAGACAAATAAATAAATAAATAATAGAATATTTACCATGGGATCATCGTGATACATGAGTTTTCTCCCATCTAACGTAAACCATCTTTTTTTGTAACCGTCTGAGTGTCTCGGTCCAGTTTTCCAGAGAAATCCCTCCTTGGGAAAATCTCGAGTCAATTGCGACAACAATTCATTCTCCGATGCACCAGGATATGCAACCTGGAGTCTGTGAAGTTTAGCACATCTTATCGCGAGATACCAATTCGTTATGACTTCTGGCTCCTCGTGGTAGACGTAGATGTGCCTCGTTGAACCGTCCTTCATGAATGATATTTGGAGACTGTTTTGGTGTCCAGTTTTTGGTGGTGCAAATGCAACGTTTAATTCTGATATCCTCAGGACAGCCTTTGGATCTTTGTGTTCTTTAACGTGGTATTTCAGGGTGTCGTCTGCTTCGGAGAGAACAAATTTCCGAGGATAATATCGAGCGTCCTCTTTTCCTCGTTTCATCAAGAAACCTTCCATGAATCCCGAAACGTATTGGTTCTGCTTCTCAGGATGGCAGAACTCTTGGCGTTGGTATTTCGCTCGAATCCACTGCTCCACAAGAACCCTTTAACAATTTTTCATGGAATAATTAATATTAATCATTAAACTATTTTCGGTGGATTAACATAAAAAATGTGATAATTTTTATTCTATGATTTTTTATGGCTCACAAAGTATATCGTCGTGTAAATATTTTTTATTTATTTCCTGGGCTCGTGGAAGTTTCTAGAAAAATTGGGGAATCCCCGAGAATATTATTATATGATGCAGAAAAGAAATGGGAATTTTTCGCGTGAAGGGCAAGGTAAAAATTGCCTGAAAGGGGAATACAATAATTTTTCTCTTACTGCGGTGCATCCTGATTTGGTCTACGATAACATGGTGGCACTCTCTCTTCATAACAGAGTTTAGCAGCATTGTTTCCCACTTCTCTGACCCTTGTCACTTGTGAATCCTCCCACCTGTCCAATTTTAAGTGTTTCACTTTTGATATGTGTGCACCCATGGACCGATGAACACCAGCACATCTCGTGCAAAGAAATATCCCAATATTGTAAGACGCCCATTCTGGATCTGCAATGATAATAATATTAAACAAAAGCTGGAGAGGTCCTAAAAAACAACAACAATTGATTAATTTGTGACGTTAAACCCTCGGGAACTAGTTTGAGTAAATAAAAATTGTGTGAAGAATTGAAAAAAAAATCTATTTTTTACGCGACGTGATTAATGCAACAGGATGTTACGAGAATTCATAGAAAATAATCGTCATCCGCCCACTATAAATGACAGGTTTGAACAGTTGAATTCGTGTAATGACAAGAGGGAAAAAAAACGTGGAGTGAGTAATACAAGTCTCAACACAATACGCATTGACTTTCATTGTCAATTATTCCAACAAGAGACTGCGAATTAAAAGTAAAATTGATGGATGTTCACGTGGGGATCAATTTGTTTAAATAAAAACTGCTAACGTTTAGCTCCACAATCTGCACACTCGTTATTTCCAGGTTTTTTTAGGAGTTCCGCCAACAATTTCTCGTTAGCATCGGCCATTTTAAAACTCACACTGAAGCGCAAAGAGGATTGACTGAAGTAGAGGCTCAGTTCTGGGGGTTTGAGTGACCCCAGTGGCATCGTAGTACTGCACCCCAAGAGAGGGAGGGCGCAACACGCACTGCTGGGGTGTCCATCAACTCGAGGGGGTGAATTTTATTTTTTGCGGGATGAATGCTGTTTGTTTTTTAGTTGTTTAACTGAAATTTAACCGGCTGTAGAACGTGTGGAAGGGGGAAGTCACGTCTTGTGGAATTTCAATGGAAAAAATTATTCAATATGTTGCAGATATACCACTAATAAAATTGTATTTTCAGAATGAGCGCGTTGTCTTAATGGTAACGTGCTTGCCTTCCACGCCGACGGCCCGGGTTCGATCCCGCCGTCATTCATTTTTTTTTTTTA